AGGTCTTTTCACTACCATGTTTGTTGCTGCTCGTAATGGCCCGAAGCCCATAGAGAGGTGGAGAGAGTTGCAAAACGCGGAGCACTCCCGCCGTTTGAACCGAGAGCAGCCGCGTGAGGACCAGACCTGGATGATCAAAAGCCAGGGTCGCTTCCACACCTACATGGAGACAGAGCTACACTTCCTGAAGCAGGAGATTGCGGCCCTGAGACTAGGCGCTTGGGTCCTTCAGCCTTGCATTCCGCACACCCTTATTTTCGAGGCTCCTCCCTGGCTGAGCAATCGCCGAGAACGCTCCTGGGTGGCCGGTCGCCCCAACACAAGAAGATGAGGAGCAAGCACAATTTGAGCGAACTAAAAGAGTAGCAAGTTCAAGAGTCCACAAATGCCAGTCACCAAGTGATTGTGGCACAGGCCTAAGAGACATTGCAGTCATCTGCCAAGCAGATAGGCTATGTTTCATCTTGGTTTTGAGAGCTTTTGAAGAGGCCTCGCTGAGAATGTCGACAGGCACGCGCGAAGACATAGCAGCGCAGTAAGAACAATTAGCTGTCGTATGTTGATGCAGCCTCCGCAGCCTGACAGTATGGTGGTTAGTACTGCGGACGGGTGCAGGCTCAATATCAGCTTCATCAAGAACGGGTTGCTTGTAAAGCTTATTCCTGCGTGCCTGTCTGACGACGCACGAAATCTTGCAGGCTTGCTTGGCAGCATGATGGCTGGCAGTCAAACGAAGACTAGGTGAGTAAGTAGGGAAGCTGGCTCTGGTTTATGCATGATATTCAATGCCGAATCAGTCAAACACGCTTGTGTAGTCATCTCTGGTGCGAATATGGTGAGACGGTGCCTTCAAGCTGCCGCAGTTCTGTGATGGCTGCCCTACGTTCTGCAGCGCATAGTAGCTAGTCGTTCAGATCCGCCATCTGCTGACTTGAGGGCGCCGGAGAAGATGTAGTAGACCCGACAGCACAGAGGACTGCCTGTCCTGTCTGCGTTCTCAAGAGCTGAAGTCGTTGGTTCCGAAAATCATGGCGTATTGCTGCTCCGTCCGAGGTCTGGGGTGAAGTCTCTGGCGGGCGGATCCGCCGCAGCTGGATCCGTGGCCAGTGGATCCGCGGCGCATTCATCGGCAGCCCTGCGAGTGTTTTCCTTAACGGCTCATTTGGTCTGCTGTCTGTTGGGCCCGTTCATCCACGTACTGTACACGTGAGCAAGTTTCCCAGAGTTGTCAATGCTCCAGTGTGCCAGGCCGCTCGTGCGACGGCTGCCTCTGCTGCCTCAGCAGGCGTGACTTGTTCGTGTCGTGCAGTGCTGCTGCCTCAACAGTTGATGACAGCCATCGATCGACACACCAGCGGCCGATATCAAGCTGTGGAGTCACTGTAGAGTGATGCAAGATGATGCGAAGGATGCGGGCCACAACATATTGGGAACTTCTCACAAGGTGCAGGTTCCTCTGTTCCCGCGGCAAAAACCGACAGTAAGAACTCCAGTCCCCTGGAGGCTCGGGAGACCATGCCATGGCGACCAAAGCAGGGCTGGCACAGAGCTGGCATTCCAGCGCACAACTTGCTTCCGCTCGCATTCGCCGCCTCTTGACATTGGCTGTGCAGCAGTCCGGTCAAGATCTGTTGCATCGACAAGCCTGCGGTTGTCGCAGGTTTCACGCTACAGAGCACATGCCCGATGTCAATGCGACAGCCCGCTCATTACACCAAATCTTTCTGCTTCGCCCACCAGCTCGTGCGGACGTTCAAAAGTATGCGCAGCAACCAATGCCCAAACCGCAGGGCTCCTTGTGCAAACGATTGCAAAAGATAGGCCTTGCTTGCGGCGGAGCTACTTCAGTTAGCTTCGAATGCCTTCTGTCGTCGAGCCCCTTTGCTGCCTTCCACCTGCAGGTTCCCAGGCCCTGGATGCAGCTGTGCCACTAGCTCGCGCGCCGAGGCATCCAGCTTTCAAACTTGGCATGTCTTGGCATCTGGGAAACCACTGTTGTAAGTCCAGGCGGTCGCGTGTCGACGACGAGGGTGCTGCTTGGCAGCAGAAGGCAATCAATCGTGTTGCTTTGTTCAATTTCTTCAGTACTTTCCTTGGGTGCTGAACTGCACCACACTGGGCCAAGGATTGTCGCTGTCCTCGGCATTGGCCCGAACCTGGGTGGTCCTGGACTCTTGCCGCGGAGTTGTCGTTTACATGATCTGCTAAGGTTTCGACCGACGCTGATACCTAAATGCGGTTGTCCTAAGGCGGTGAACTCAGTCTCTGGACTTGAAGGAAATGGCGTGAGCTAGTTATTTACCTAACCCGAATTTAAATTGGCAGACGGTCAAATCACATGATCACCGGCGCCAAGGAAAATCCGGAATCCTTGCAGAGAGACTGCAAATGCACCCAACAATACCTGCCGGCCTGGGTACGACGTGGAAAGAACTGCCCGGGTCCTGGAGCCACTTGTTCTGCTCTACACAGACATGAAGCATGGCAAGCTTTGCTGAACACTGGCATACTCTGCTGTGACTCAAGGGACTCAAGGGCTTCAAGGCTACCCGCGACACTGCTTGCACGTTGGGCACTAAGGCCCGTGCAAAAAGGCGCCACTTGGGACTTCAGCCACGAGTGAGGAATGTGTTGTGGTACTCGTTAGTAAGATCAAACTTCATGCCTCGAGCGAGGTCATTTCGGCTTCCTAGTATGTGATTTGGCACACGAATGCTGCGCATGCACGGCAGTCTCGATAGTCAGAAGCAGCTTGGTAGAGTAGAGTCAGTCTGTTGGCAGGTCTTTGGAGCAGTTTACAATGCCGAAGTCTACAAGGCAGCGGCCCTTGTCCACCAGACATGTCCTGGTTGCTTTTCCCGGACAGGCTTGTATGCGCGAGGCTAGGCGATTAAGTAACGACTCTGCTTCAATTCTCGCATTCAGTGACAGCAACAGAAGCAGAGCAACGCACCTCTTGGATCCAGGACTATGCTAACTTTGGAGGGAGTGAGAAGATGCTCTCAGGCGATAGAGTCTCGCGGCGGTGCGCTATGGGAGCGTTTGGAGAAGGCTGGAACTCGACATGATTGAAGGCTCATACAGGAGCGAAAGAGCGTCGCACTTTTCCGCCGTTCCTTTGGCCAGGACAAGGCCAGCCGGGAAAGCGCTAACGCAGGCCATCGAAGAGCGGAGGGGAAGTGTAAACTTGCAGAGCAGAGCAGCGAATGAAGGTGTGGAGGCTCTGCCAGTGAGCAAGGCAGCGGGCCCAGGCAGGAAGTCGCAATGAGAGAAGGGTCATTTGTCATTAGTCAGAGTTTACGAGGGAGCTATGGAAAGGACCAAGCGGCCTGGAAGTCCATGAAAGGTTTTCTCCGCTTTCGGGTTAACAGTTGGATTGCGAGCGCGTGGAGCCGGCAGACACAACAGCCTAGGGAGACTGGTGTACAATTGTCAGGGATCGATTGAAGAACTTGTCGTCCGGATTTTCTGAAAAGAGGCTGCCCTGCATCCAGTTCATTCCAGCAGTCTTGCAGGTCCTGGGGCGAGCCCGGGGCAGCCGATGCTCGGCAGCCACTAGTTGGACATGCTTGTCCTTTGTTGAAGCTTGGTTCGGACTGCCTTGGCCATCTACTGAGGGCTGCCCCTGCAACGCCAAGCATGCTCAGCTCCGTCGGTACAGCAGTTGTGGCACCAACAACCACCAAAGCATCACCAGCTTCCCCAGATCTTCCAAAAGCCTCGCCTCCTACTAGCACTGCTCCAAGCACTGCTGCAGCACTGTCAACAACAAGCTCGCCCCCCATCACCAAAACTTCACTCCCTTCGGCTGCACCTGTTTCGTCGCAGCCGATGCAAGACTCAGACTCTGCTGCAAAAGCCTCACAGCCGACCGGCCCAGCTAGCGTTCCGCCAACGGTAAGACCAGAAACCCCAGCGCAAAAGGAAGACTCGGCTGCAAAAGCCTCCCCTCCAGCCGGTCCGCCATCGGCAAGACCAGAAACTCCAGCGCAAAAGGCCGACTCTCCTGCAAAAGCCTCGCCTCCAGCCGGCCCCGTTCCCGGCACACCGCCACCGGCAACGCCAAAGACGGCGCCAAAGGCAGACTCCCCTCCAAAGGCCACTCCGGCCACCCCCCCAACCGGCACTGTTCCCGGCCCACTTGCGCCAGCAACGGCTAAGCAATCGGCTCCTCAGCCGCAAGAGGCAGACTCCCCTCGGAAACGTCCACTCTCAGCAGGGGCTGCACCAGCAAAAGCCGCAGCAACCTTATCCCAGGCCAGCTCCCCTCGATGAGCTTGGCACAGTCTGCGCATTGCAGCCAGCACAGGACTTCACCTTCGGATGGCCTAGCACAAGAGTCCCAAAGTTGACTCTCCCTTGTACGGACATTGCAGCCGTCATCCCCGGCCCACAAGGTCACTGCCAATTGGCAGACCCTCTCGATTTTGTGCGTTTTTTTGCGATGCGTTCACCCAGCCAAGATGTTTGCGCGAGATGCTGGGATGTGCTGCAGTTATGCAGAACACTTGTGCACAGAGATGCATGGAAGCTTTCCCGGCAGAGAATATCTTTGCAGCAGCATGGAAGGCAGAGAAACCAGCAAATTGCAGTCCAGGATTGCTAAAGCTACTGGAACGCGTTGCTGAACTAGGCCTGCCAAAGGCAGGGACATGTTTGACCCAGACAGCCAGTCCAAGAAACGACACCGCAGCTGCTCGCAGTTGGATTGCTCTGTGCCACATGTAACCTCCAAAAATGATCGTGCGAGTACCGCCTGGGAGTAGCCCCCTCTTGAGAGCCCAGATCTTGCCAAGAAGTGCCCCATGTAGGCCGTGAGATCCTCTGATTGCATTGCTCTCGCTCTGCTCAGCTTCGCCGGCTGGGCATAGGTGAGGGTTCTGCAAAATCTAGCCGCCGGTTCATAGTATGATTGCAAGATATTGCAAAGCCTGATCGATCCTGCGAGCAGACCAGATTGTAAACGCGACCAAACGAGTGGGGAGCAGAGAACTCGCCAGGCAGAGCTCGTCTCCGGCTTATCACAGCGGTCCGAGTCGGACCGTCCTTGCGGGTGATGTTGGTTTGCGCGAGGAGGTTAGTCAATTTCTGTGTTGCTCCAACTGCTCTAGGACCAAATGACGGCAGTCCAAGTGATGTGGAGTGCCTCGGCATATCTCATGCAGAGCATTCCGCATGCATTCCGCATGCGTTCCCAGTGTCGTGACTCCGTCACTGCAGGTGCCAGGCCATGGCTGGAGCACCCGGCGATCTCAAAGGACCTTCCGACTCTGGTCCTGTCACTACCGCTTGTAGCGTCTGAGTGAACATCTTCCAGCAGCTCTGTGCCTTTGCGGGAGCTTGTCAACGGTCTGCGGAGATGCCTTGGACATGTGCTGTTCCTTCAGGGCAGTGTCTCGGATGCTGAAGCCAAAGCAAGTTTGCTGCCGACCACTGCGAGCACTGACAAAAACAGCGTGCTGAGTTGCACCGACGCTTCGCACCCACGGATGTCTCTGTGTCTCCTCCCGAATGCTGACTTGACTGACATGTCATCCGAGGTTGGCCAGAGATCTTTCGAAGAGATGTGCCAGGTAGCCAGGTCTCGGACTCGGACAGACTCGTTGTGGACCTCTGAGAGACCTTATATGGAACCAGTCCTGAGCGCACCCGCGAGGCCCAGCACCTGCAAGGGTGCCAAAGGTGTGCTTCGACCACAAGGACCCGAACAAAGCAAGAAGCATTGCAGAGTGTGCGGCAGTGTCATGGGGATGTTCCGAGATGTTCGGCCAGGCCTGCTGAGCCCTCGTTTCGTTCGTTACCTGCGCGTGTGCGACTACGCACTCTCGCCAAGTTCCGGCCTCGTCAGTGAGAGTGCCTTCGAGTCGGCCCTTACGATCTGCAGACGCGTGAAGTTTACGCAGATGTTTCATCAACGCATGGTAGCGGCGCAGATCCGGGCCGGGTCAGACACTTGCCATGCTGCAGCCTACTCTGACACTTGAAGCCACATTTTCGCCGCGACTTTACTGGGTCCAAGTCTTTGTAAGGAGCATCATGGGCTCACAGGGTGCACGCGCGTAAAAGCTCCAGGCTCCAGGGCAGAGCCACGAGCCGTAAGCTGATGTGGCAGAGTGCTGCGCTGGGCGCCAAAGCACCTTTGAGGCTCTGAAATAGTTTGTGTCCCGTCCTTGCTGTCCTGCTGCGCTGTTTTCAAGACGAAGCGACATGAAGATCCTAAGCTTACTAATAAGTTGTCAGCTCCAACTGTCTACCGAGCTGGAACGGTTCTTGCAGTCCTATCTGTGCTTGCACCGCCGACCTAGCTGCATTCGTGGCGGGCAGCAGATTTGAACATATGGGACGAGATTTTTGCATTCACGCACCTATAGGCGTGGCGTGGCTTACTCGGTAGCTTCGAGATAGATGGCCCTTCGAGCGGTTTGCAGTATAAAGTATAAAGCCAGGCTGTACCATACTACAAACCCCTTTCCAAGCAGTGACTGCATTGTGCATAATTCTTCGAATGTGGAGATCGGTACTCGAAGGGCTGTGCGATCGTTGTCCCATCGAAATTCGGCTGCGCAGACGGTGGCTGAAAGCCAGGCGAAGTGTGGAAAGTCCCTCTGCCGCGGCTTGTCCCTTGCCAGAGGATCTGATGTCACTGAGGTCAAGTTGGTGCCAAGCTGTTAGAGATAGAATCGTACAAAGTTAGGCGGCACAAGGATAGGCGGTTGCGATGTTCCCGTCCGAAAGGCAGTCAGCTTCTGGCTGTACAAAGATCCTCGGTGCCAATTCGCACAAATCTTCCAACCGCCTGCATTTCACCTGGTCCCAGACCCCTACGATCCTCGGGGAGGGGATATACATGTATGTCATACATATTCACATCATGCATGTAAGCCTGCATGATCCTCGATGTATGCATGCACCTGCATGTATGTAAGTATGCAAGTAAGTACGTAAGTACTGGCTTTTTGTCTGTTCGCTGTTGTATGTGCGAGTGCCATGTACGTGTAGTTTAGATTGTTAAGTAAAGTAGGGCAACGAAGTCCAATCCATGTGTTCACGCATTCATGGTGGCATGGAGTTTGTTGATGCCTGGCAGAGCAGCGGACCTAGATTCGTCCTGCACATGAAACCCGGAATGGTGTCGACCTTATGAAGCCAGAAAAAAGCTGGTAATGCATGCATTGCGAAATGGTCATCGTGAGCCATGAAACCACTCATGTCAGCAACGCGCAACATATCTCGCAAAGTCACCACCTACTCGTATATCCAATAGCACACGTGCATATGCAGGTGTGTATTTCAAAAATAATATTATATATGTCTATGGACCTATACTGTACATATGCATAATGATATGCATATATTATATATATATATACACACATAGATCGGTATATCCACTTACGATAGGTAGATAGATAGATAGATAGATAGAATCTATACACATGCTCACGTACTCATACATAAAGCTGTGTATCTATGTAGCCTTTCAAAAATATGAATTTGCATACACGAATGCATATGGTAAATGTTCTTGTAGATTTTTCCGCCTGCATACATGCCTATGTGTGTGTACATGTGTTTTATGTGTATCCTGGTATGTGTGTATGTGCAACTTTATGCGTCCACAGGTACACTTACATATTGGTGTATATATGTCTGTACTTACTTTTCATACTTAGTTTCTCGCTTACGTTTTCGTGTGGTGAACGTAACACACCGCAAGGAACCATGCCGTGAATGCGGACTGACTGCAAAATGCAGTCTCATCCATTGGCTGTCGTTCTTTCGTTTTTCTGTCCTGCTTTCTGTGTTTCTTTTTCTCTCCTTTACACATACCCTCTCTTCACACGCAGGTTAAACATCTGCGTTCTATGTGTTCATAGATGCAGCTCATCATGTGCATGGTCCGCATTCATGTATGCGTTCATATGCCTATATGCACTTCTGTACGATCAGGCTGAAGATGGCTCTCGGCTCGAGTTCAGAGGTTTGGGCATCGACTTATCACCACATGTGGCGCTCTTTCTGCAGCCCCGAGGGCAGCCAAGAGCTCTGAAGACGGCTCTAGACGCAGGTCCACACCGCAGTCATCAAAAAGTTAGGAAGCTTCCCTGCGCAGTTTGAGAGAGTGAGCGATGTAAAGGGACCGGCAGGATTGGCCCTTCGAGGCCATCGATACTCCCAAGAAGTTGTCGTCAGCTGGGATCGGATGGGCATGTTTTTGTGAGCAATGTTCGATTCAATTCGTTCCATCTGCGGTGACTGTCATCGCAAGTTCCCTGACTGGTAAATTTGTCTTACTGAGGCTGAGGCAAAGACAGGAGAAGTGTAGACTTCATGAGCTGTAAAACAGTACATGACATTATATTTTGCTAGGCTGACAGCAGTTGCTTGTGCTTTGCTTGTCGGAAGCTCCACACTCAAAGGTGACAGAGGTGTGGTGTATGGCCTTGGGCTGGGCATTCTGGACAGCACTCATATTCATCGTTCAGTCCTGGCACACCTTCGCTATGGTAAAAGTAATTCTGGATCGCTGGCAAAGCATCTTGGAAGCTTGATGTTGTAGTTGTATTGTGCAAACACGCAGTTTGGGGACAACAGGCTGGCCTTATGTCATAGCTCCTGGTGAGACTGTGCCTGTCGAGCATTAGCATTGCAGGCTCAATGACTGATGCTGTTGGATGTGCTTCAACTTGCGACATAAGGACATTTAGACAGGGACCTAGCAGAATGTCAAGGCCGATTCGTTTGATGCTTTTCAGCTAAGCTCCCATCGGGCACAAGTGTAAAGTTCTCGAACCACAGGATAAAGCAAGGTGTAAAGAGTCTAGGAGTGTCCTTGCTTGGCGCGATGCCTTCATGGGCGGCTTTGAAAGCCTTTGCACGGTCGGTGCCGGGCTTGCGTGCTGCACCCACTTCTACCTGTTTGAAGGACCCGGTCCAGTGGGCGGATAGAGACTCAGTTGATCTTTCGCGAGGTTGGATGCTGCCTCCGGCTCCGGTAGTCGAAGTCAAATATGATCAAGGAAACCAGGTCAAGCAGCTGTTTCCTTCACAGCGGGATGCCGTTTGCGACAAGTAACCTATCCAACCACTCAAGTCCAGCAGCCGAGCACAGATAGGCAAGGAAGGCACATGCGCGAAGCACCGTGAAGGCCCCCCCTTGTGCAGAAGATTTGACAGGAGCCAGCGAAGCCAGCTCTGGGATCCAAGAGCGGCGATGGGGTCGTTGGCGAGGCGACCGGAACTTCTCGTTGCTTTAACTTGCGACATGAGGCGCGCTTTTGGCGGCTCAGTGGCAGTGAGCATGCAGAAGTCTTCACAAGTCTCTGACCGGCCTGCAGGATGGGACCACGACGCTGCACATAGCTGCGCGGAATGGTCACACCGAAGTGCTTCGCTGCCTTCTCAAGGCACATTGCCGCAGGTTGTTGTTGCTCTGGTTGAGATCATGGAGTTGTTGTTTCACTGTGAACAACCATATGAGGCAAGTCTTTGTACTGTAACTGTCATTTACAGTGTTCGTGCTCTTGCATCATGCTTGTCCGCATGTGCTTACAGTAGCTGGTGGGCGCTTGGATTGGCCGTCATTTGCCAGCAGTCATAGCAACCCACTCTGAGCCTTTGCCAGGAAGGTGCCGAAGCTGACGTGGCTACAACGAGAGGAGAGACGCCATTGCTCTTTGCAGCGCAGCAGGCCCCGATAGCTGAAGCCTAGTGACGAACAACTTTTCATCTGGCTGCGGGCGGGGGGCCCTGCACTACGCCCATTCGATTCGCAGGGGTACTTGGAAACTGTCATCGTCTTGGTGGAAGCTGGCGCTGACAAGCACCTCGGCAGGGTTTCACGTTCATGGCGGTATCAGTATCAGTCAGTATCGCAGAACGGACATCGTTCGCAACGGCTTACGAGTCGCTTTGAAGGGTGACTGGACACTTTCCACTCTCCGAGGCGGAAGGCCGCAGAGCACGGCTTGACTCCGGTTCATGCTGCCGTGGAAAGGGGCCATCTGGAGGTGGCCTCGGCCACGGCTTTGGCACCGTGCTGACACTTTCATTATTTATGAAGCCGTCTGATCTGGAGGTGGTCCAATTCCTTATCAAAGCCAGGGCGGACATCGACCATGCAGGGGCCCTAGCTTTGATTTTTGAGAGCTGCCTTCGCACCTCTCTGTGTCTCGAGCTGAACACTCGAATACAAGCTGTCTCACCCAAGGCGACAGAGCGCATTACATATTCAAAACCCACCGGCGCTTCCCGGCGACCCCCCTTTCTCAAGCCTCAGATGGCCGAGTTTTGCTGGACACGACTTGCCCCCTGGCCAAGGCACAGGACAGTGGTGCCACGCCACTGTTTTTGGCCGCGTATAAGGGTCAGGCCGGAGGAGCAGATAGGAGCAGGAGCACTGCGCCGTCTCTGGCAGCCTGTCGACGGCGGCCCCGCCTTGCGCCAGGTCGCCTTGGTCCAGTCTTTGCTCGACGCGGGAGCCGACAAAGACCGCCCTGAACACCAAGGACTTCCCGGAGCTGCCAAAGTCCTCGCGTGTGCCGCTGTCTTGCACATCTTACCTGTGCTATGTGGCAGCTTCAATGGTAGACTTGCACAATTCTCGCTTTGGTTACACTGCTGTATCGTGCACACATGACCACGCAGCACTCAGCGGTGTTTGTCGAAAACTGTTGTTGCAGGAGCCACAGCTTTGTTCATTGCTGCTTGGCATTACGGCTTCGGCCCGACAGTACGTACATACACTTACTCGGAGGTGGTCGGATCTACCCCTGAAGCAACATGTAAGTGCAAAAGCTACTGCGAATTCAGCGCCGCCCGTTTTCGTGTGCTGAATATTCTGAGGCCTCGCAGATGGGACATGTGGACGTTGCGCAGTGCCTCCTGGATGCGGGTGCGAACCCGAACCTGACCAAGGAGCACGATGTCTCGCCGCTGTACATTGCCTCGGAGTGTGGGCACGCTGAGGTCGTGCTGGCCATTCTGGGTACAGGAGCTGACAAGAACAAAGCAACGGATCGAGGAACAACACCGCTGTACATCGCATCCCAGGAAAATCGGATTGAAGTCGTGCGGCATTTATTGATTGCCAGAGCCGATGCAAACATCTCCGAGCACAACGGAGCAACTCCTGCTCACATCGCCAGCCAGAGTGGCAACTTGGACATACTCCATCACTTGATAGATGCATTTGCAGACATTGACAAGACAAACAAGCACGGCGCCTCGCCTCTGTACTGTGCTGCTGAACAAGCGAAGCTGGGAAGTGTCCGTGTGTTGGTTCATGCAGGTGCCCGCCAGGTGGCGACCAGCGCTGGTGTCACTCCGTTGTACATTGCAGCAAGGCGAAACAACGTAGATGTCGTTCGGTTTCTTCTGGCGGCAAAGGCAGATTCCGAGTTCGTGAAGGATGATGGGACCACGAGCTTGGCAATTGCAGCGCAAAAGGGGCACTGTGAAATTGTTCGAGAGTGTTTGGCCGCCGGTGTCCGCCTGAGCAACAGCCCTGAGACTGGAGCCTCACCTTTGTTTGCAGCTGCACAGAAGGGCCACGTGGAGGTTGCAGAGTGCTTAATCCTGTCCCGGTCAGATGTGAACCATGTGACCTTCGAGAAGGCTAGTTCACTGCTCATTGCGGCACAGAACGGTCATCAAGATGTCGTGCACTGCCTTATGCAAGCGGCTGCCGATGTGGATCTGCCTGACAAGCATGGAGTAACAGCCCTGAATGCAGCCGCCAGGCAAGGACACTTGGGTGTGGTACAGCTACTGATCAGTGGGGCTGCCGATGTGCACATTGCTAGAGACACTGGTCTGGCACCCCTTCATGTCGCTGTACAGGGTGGGCACCTTCAGATTGTCCGATCCTTGCTGAAGGCCAGTGCGAACAAGGAGCAGACGTGTGGAGAGGGACGTACGCCCCTCCACTGTGCTGCCGAGATCGGCTACCTTTTCGTCGCGCAGCACCTCATCGAAGCTGGCGTGGACAAGGAGCGAGCATCACATTCCGGAGCAACGCCGCTCTGGCATGCTGCCTCGGAGACTTGACCTTTCATCCGACTCCCAAACTTCTCTGGAAGCCCTCCCTGCTTTGAACTCGTACTACTGTAGCCGGTAGGCTCTCAAGGACCCCTTGAAGATCGTGTGCTGGTGGTGTACTTCGCAACCTCTCATAGAGACTGAGACACTGGCTATTCTAACATGTTCCACATTTTCGATCAGGCTTGCGCTTTTTCTACGGTCTCGTTGCTGCTACGTGCTTAAAATCAATTCTACTTGTAGGGCATCGTTTGTATTTTGGCATGTCTTCGATTGAAGGTCATCAGTGAAACTGTGCTGCCGCGACTTTCGCGAGAATTGAAAGTAAGAGGATTTGACCGTCCATAACCAAGACTAGTAACTGGAACCCGGCCCGGATTTGCAATGTGAAGCGGGCTGCTCCGAGAGCAGGCACCCGTCCCCGTCGCAACAGCTTGAGCTCGCAGAGTGCATCCCGACAGCTTGGAACTAGGAATCAGGATCCCGATTTCAAAAGCATCCATCATCCTATCCTGGTGCCGCTTGCGGGCCTGTCATGTGAGAAAGAAGGCATCCTTTTTGTGGCGTGCAAGCTTCTGGACTCATCATTTACACGATGCTCATACGTCGAAATCTGTTGTTCTCCTCTACGCAGTACTGGCGATTGCAAAATGGCTGTCATCGTGACGGCTATTTGCTGCAGAATGCTGTAGGAGTAGTCGTCGCTGCCGCGAGTCGTTGCTCGTGTTATAGAGTCGTAGACGCACTCTTCAGGTCGTTGGTAAACTGTGCTGTTCCTTGCAGGTGGGAGACAGATTTTCGGTCCTGCATTCGGGGTCTCGGATGGTCTCGTTTGCTGCTCTCTCCTGAAATGGTTCCTGTTACGCTGCCGGCACTGCTGGTACTGTTGCTGTTTTTCTCACTGACGGTTCCTGTTACGCACCTCTACAAGTGGTTTCCGTTGCTCATTGCAGTATATTGCAGTAGTTTGGCACTCCTGCCACAGTGTAGTTCGTGTTTTGCAATGTCTCACCAAGAGTCGCTTGCATGCCCACCTCCCGAAGTCGTGCTCCCGCCACAGTGCCATGTACGTTTTGCTTGCGACTCGTGTTTCCACCAGTCCAGTGCACAATTGGGGTTTAGGGTCATTACTGAGGTGCGTATTTTGGGGAGCAAATCGTGCACCCGCGACAGTGTAGTTATGGGGGCCCATGAGATGGTCTTGGGAGCTGTTCTTGGGTATGCAGGGTGTGGAATGCCAGGGGCTCTTTCAGTATCTGGGATCTGTGCTGGCATTGTTGTTTAGCATCTGGCCGAACCAAATTCTCGACGCCTTCTGTAAAGTTCGCACAATCTGACCCATCATGATCAGGAAGGCCATGTCGAGATGGTGCAGCAGTTGCTCACAGCATCCGCCGACTGTGACACGCCCACACATGACGGCTTGAGCCCCTTGCATTCCGCAGTGTTGAAGGGCCACTTGCAGGTGGCAAGTGCTTTGCTCGCTGGAAGTGCCAACGTAGACTTGACAAACAGGTCCGGTGTGCATCCTTTGTTTAGTGCTGCCGAGTCTGGGCAGTTGCAGATGATCCAATGCCTGTTAGAAGCAAGTGCAGACAAAGACAAGCAAACCACATCGGGCATGACCGCCTTGCATATCGCGGCACAAAAGGGCCAGTTTCAAGCAGCAAATCGCTTGCTGGCTGCAGGCGTTGATTGTGATGTTGTCGGAAGCCACGGACTTACGCCACTACACCTTGCCATCCAGAATGGCCATGTGGAGGTCGCCAGTTTGTTGTTATCAGCAGGTGCCCAACCTAATCGGGCAGATGGTAACGGCGTGCTGCCGTTGGAATACGCAGCTCAACATGGGGGTATACAGATCGTGCAGTCATTGTTGCAGGCTGAGGCTGATGCGAATCAAGCGGGAGAGGATGGGCAGACCCCGCTGTATGTTGCGGCTGCAGCAGGTCATGTCCAGATTATCAACTGCTTGGTGGAGGCGCAGGCTGACCTCAATGCAGGCGAGAAGATGATTGCATTGCATACGGCGGTTGAACACGGCAACATTGCGGTGACCCGATGCCTCCTTAAGCACGGAGCTTCCCGAGACAGCTTCCGCTTAGATGGGAAGACACCGCTTTGTCTTGCTGCCGAACATGGCAATGTGGATATTGTGAAATGCTTGTTATTCGCAAAGGCATGCACTCAGATTGCGACAGTGGAAGGCATGACACCTTTGCACATTGCTGCCAACAGTGGCCACCTGTCCGTGGTGCGCTCCCTCTTGGATGCCAAGGCTGACAAGACAGCGGCTGCCAAGAACGGCGAGACGCCACTGTATCTGGCAGCCCAGAATGGGCACTTGGCAGCTTTGCACAGTTTGTTGACTCAAAGCCCAACATCGATCAAGGACGGTGCCACATCCAGCGCAGAGCTGAAGAAGGGGTCTTCAGCACAGCCTGTTTGGAAAGCACGTGGGCAGATGGGCTGGACAACACTGACGTCACGGATTCTTGGAGATCTGTTTGGCGTCAATGTGCTTTGCTTTTGGTGATGTACCTGCAAACTAGGTTCTAGATTGTCGCAAAGCTTGGGCTGCTTATCTCAGGATGAACAAAGCATTTTTGGAGCTTCTGGCAGCTCACTCACGGACTTCCACATTACGCCGTGCTGTTTTTTTGTCGAGTGCAGGTCTTGGGGTTGCACTGTTCGTTCAGTTGGTTCGCGCGATTAAGCGAGACAGATCAGGCTAGGCAATGGAAGTCTCGATTACTGTCTACCGAATCTCAGCCTGCATCGTAGCACTGCAGTGGAGGATGGCGTGGGATATTTTGCAATGCCTTGCCTGGTCATTGCAGAGATGCAAATGCGATTGCTAATGCACAAATTGTTGAGCGAATGCTCATCTAATTCGGATTGCCACTGCACGCATGAACCATGCAACGGTCGCAACCATTTAAGCTACGGTGCTTCTATAATTAAAAAATATCATAAGATATTGTCAGCATCCTTATAGAATTTTCTTCGCTATAGGTATATTGGCTTTAATCTGAATTCAGAATAAACCTCAGAAAAAAAAAATATATTTTGCAAATTCTTTGAAAATATTTTATTTAAATTTGATGAATTTCTGAAATTGATATTGATTTTATTTCGAAGAATTCATATATTTTGATTATAAATAAGAGAAATCAGATTATAAAAACTTCTGAATTTTTGAATCATTTCTTTCATAGCCGGCATATGAATGAGGGAGTTAGGAAATGCTAGATTTTCTTAGATATTTCTTTTTATATTCAAGAAATTATGGTGCGAAATATTTCTTGTATTTAATAAGTAAGCAATAGACTATTAGATATTTCTTTTATTCAGGAATTAAGTAGCTAACCTTGTCCTTCATTTTAATATTAACCTATTGAACTTGGGAATAACACGTTCCGCTTCTATAGATATAATTTTCTGAGAATTTTCGACCAGCATTGTCTAGTATTATCTAGTAGTTTCTATTATTCTTTTTCTTCTGGGACCTGGCCGGTTTAGCATCCCTGGTCCTCCAGGGTTTGGCCGGAATCTACCATTTTCTAGTATTGTCAAGTATGATCTAGTATTATCTAGTATTATCTAGCATTTTCTATAATCATCGCAATGCACTGACCGGAATCTATACCATTTTCTAGTATTATTTGATATTATAGAGCATTTTCTAGTATCCTGGTCTTCAGGGACCTGGCCGGAATCTAGCATTTTCTAGTATCTTGTCTAGCATTGTTCGGGGAGGATTCATGGTTTGAATTGAGGATGGGTCGAGGATTTGGAATTGAGGCTTTAGGTTTGAGCCGGTAGTAATATCCTGAAATCTGAGCCCTGAATTTTCATATTGTTTTGAAAGTGTAAAGTTCAGGGTCAAGGCGAGGGTATTTCGTCAGGTTTACAAGGCTTTTGGGGCAAATGACTTGAGATTCAGAAGCAGCAAATTAGTAGCAAATGATCGGAGTATTCTTCTAGCTATTTTTAGCTTCTTCTAGCTCTGTCTAGCCGGCCCTATCTGGCTAGATATTTCCTGCGGCTGGGAAGAAGACGGCTATGAAACCGCCTCCAATCATCTCCTATAATAATAAAAAGATAAGAATTTAATTATTAGGTTTTAAATTGAATTTCGAGGTTGTCGGACAATGAAAAGAAGAATATTGTCATACATATTATATTATATTATATTA